TAACCTCTCTGAGCCTCGGTTGCTCATCAGTAAAATGCAGGTGATAATACTTAATACTTGTTTTGCAAAGATGTTCTGATATGTAATTTATGAGACATGATATAATACATATGAGAAAGGAAATGATGTAATATGATATAATGTATGAGAAGTGTCCACACACGTTAGGTCTTCAATAAAGGGTTGCTTTTCTTACTCATCCTTCAAGGTTCAGCTCTGTGACGCCATCCCAGCTCCCCCAGCTCCCTTGGGCTGGTATGACCTGCTCTCTCTCTCTCTCTCTCTCTGGAACAGCATTTTTAAAAATCATAGTTAAAAAACACATAAAATTTGCCATCTTAACCATTTTTTAGTGTACAGTTCATGAGCATTAAGTATATTCACATTGTTGTGAAACAGATCTCCAGAACTTTTTCATCTTGCAAATCTGAAATTCTGTACCCATTAAACAACAACGCTCCATTTCCGCCTCTTGGAATAGCATTTTTATCCATCCCTGAATCATAAATGCCTTACCTACCATGGGCTGACTTGCAGTATATTGAGTTTTGTATATATGTGTCTCTTCCACTATATTTTGGGCTTCATCAGGACCAGGAGCTTGTCTTATGCTTCCCTGTATTCCTCACAATACCTAGCACAATGCCTGGCATATAGTATGTGCTCAATAAGTGTTTGTAGAATTGAAGATTTTTTGTATTGCCTTATTTTTATTTAATAGCTTTGTGTGTGTGTGTGTGTGTGTGTGTGTGTGTGTGTGTGTGTGTGTGTGTGTTTGAGAGAGAGAGAGAGAGGGAATGTGTGTGTGTATGTGGTGGGGCAGGCTGTGTGCTATACTTTATAAGCCCTAAGAGATCGGGAATTGTGTCCAAACGCATGAGGCAACAGTGGAAAGAACTCAGGCTTTGGCTTTAGACAGATCTGGGTGCAAATCCTGTGATCTCGAGCAGACTGAACTTAACCTCTTTGAGCACTGGCTTTTTAAAATCTTAATTCTATTTCAATTTAAATCTTTAAATTTAAAATCTTAATTCTAAAATGGGGTTGTGAATACAGGCCCCAGAAAGCTGTGGTTGGTGTTAAATGTGATACAATATATAAAGCTTCTGGTATATACATGCAGCCTATGGATGTTAGCTCCTTTCCTGTAAGCTGTATTTCTCCTTACATCACACAGTGCCTGGCCCACAGTAGGTATTTACTGACTACTTGTTTTCGTGGTTGGCAGAAGAGGTCATGTGAAGGGCTGGGTTTGAAAGATCTGAGCTGAGGGAGAGGGGTGAGCGGGATCACTGAGCCCTCCCTCCCCTTCCTGCTGACCTTTGCCAGGTGTATAACGAGTTCATTCTGCCTTCGGAGCGAGCCGGGTTCCTGAGCCGAATCCGGGAGATTATCCAGCGAGTAGAGACCCTGTTGAAGAGAGATACTGGCCCTGTGGAGGCTGCTGAAGACCCCATGTGCCCCCAGGTCAGACCCCAGGGAGAATGGACTGTGCTCCAGGCTTCGTTACTCTCTCTGCCTGACCAGTCGACTGGGATCTAAGTCCCCTTCATCTCTGGGAACCTAAAACAGTGGCTCTTAGCCCATTTGAGAATCTGATGAAAGCCATGGACCCTTGTTCTAGAAAAATGTGTCCAGTGCATACTTTTCTTTTAACTCATTATTTTGAAATAATTTCAGACTTACAGAAAGAAGTTGCAAGAATTGTGCAAAGAACTCCTACTCTTTACCTAGATTTGCCAATTGTGTTTTGCCACGTTAGCTTTCTCTTTTTCTCTTTCCCCTCTCTATACTGTAGTGTATTAGTTTCTGAACCATTTGAGTGAGTTGCAGACATCATGCCCGTTTATCTCTAAATAATTTCAGCAAATACACTTTGGAATTCCTTGAAATTTATCTTGTGGACTCCTAGAGGTCCATGAGTCCCAGCTTAAGAACACCAGTCTGAAACCTTCCATCTAACGCTCGGCTCTTCCCCACTGTGACTGTGGGCTCCCTTCTCTCCCTCAGGAGGAGCCAGCACCGTTGCCTGCCCTCCCGGGCCCCTTCCCCAACCCATCCAGTGGTATGTACTGACTTCTGTCCCTACTCATCCCAACCCTTGGGTCGCTCCTGGGAAGGGCGTAGGGAATGGAGGACTGGAATCTCAACAGCCCCCTCCTCCCCAGCAGAGCTCCAGAGCAGTTCCTCCCTGGAGCAGAGCAGTTGGGCGAGCTTCTCCACCTCCCCAACTTCTGGAAACCCCTTGTCTCCTGGAAACCCATTTTCTCCTGGAACCCCTGTTTCCCCAAGTCCCATCTTCCCCATCACTTCTCCCCCATGTCATCCCAGTCCCTCCACATTCTCCCCAATTTCTTCTCAGGTCTCAAATCTCTCTTCACACCCCCCCAGCTCTCCACTTCCATTCTCCCCCAGTGCATCCCAGTTTCCAATCCCATCCTCTCAGTTTCCACAGAGTTCTCTCCCCCCCAGTTCTCCATCTGCCTTCTCTCCCAGTTGTTCCCAGGTCACTCTTACACCTCCTTCCTTTCCTCCATGCTCCTCTGCTTCTCCCCTCCCCTCCACCACAGCAGCCCCACTCCTCTCTTTGGCTAGTGCCTTCTCACTGGCTGTGATGACTGTGGCCCAGTCCCTGTTGTCCCCCTCACCTGGGCTCCTTTCCCAGCCTCCTCCAGCCCCTCCTGGTCCCTTACCGAGCCTACCCCCTCCCACTCCCCTCCTTGCTCCTTGTGGCCAGGAGAGGCCTTCACCTTTGACAGCTGAGACAGAGAGTGAGGTGAGTAGGAAACCAAGAGGGATGATGGGGGAGCGGGGAGGGGCACCATTCTGGATCATCTCCTCACGGACCCATACTTTGTAGACCTCCGCAAATCCAGCTCGGCCACTCCTGAGTGAAGCCAGGTTGGCGCCCATCTCTGAAGGTGAGGCCTCTGATCACTCACCTTCCCCTGCCCATTATCCTCAGTCTACTTTATATCTTGCCACTGATTTCTCCCCCTCCTTCCATGACTCCATCCTTGTGTCTCTACAGAGGGAAAGCCCCAGCTTGTCGGGCGTTTCCAAGTGACTTCATCCAAGGAACCAGCTGAGCCTCTTCCCCTGCAACCAACACCCCCAGCTCTCTCTGGTTCCCTGAAGCCTCCAACCCCTCGGCTGACCTCAGAGAGCTCAGACACAGAGGATAGTGCTGGAAGCGGGCCAGAGGCCAGGGAGGCGCTGGCTGAAAGTGACCGTGCAGCCGAGGGCTTGGGGGCTGGAGTTGAGGAGGAAGGGGACAGTGGGAAGGAACCCCGAGTGGGGGACAGTCCCCCACCCCTGAGCCATCCCAGCCCAGTGTGGATGAACTACTCCTACAGCAGCCTGTGTCTGAGCAGTGAGGAATCAGAGAGCAGTGGGGAGGATGAGGAATTCTGGGCTGAGCTGCAGAGTCTTCGGCAGAAGTGAGTCTGGGGAGGATGGAGGACAAGAGGTGGACTTGGGAGAGCAAAGTATGTGGCTAGCCCTCTCATGCTCCTGGTGCATCCTTAGGCACTTGTCAGAGGTGGAGGCACTACAGACGCTACAGAAAAAGGAAATTGAGGACTTGTACAGCAGGCTTGGGAAGCAGCCTCCACCCGGTATCGTGGCCCCGGCTGCTATGCTGTCCAGCCGCCAGCGCCGCCTCTCCAAGGGCAGTTTCCCCACCTCCAGACGCAATAGTCTGCAGCGCTCTGAGCCCCCAGGCCCTGGTGAGACTGCAGTCGCCCAGCTCCAATCTTTCCCAAGTCCCCTTCCCTAGTGATCCAGCTTTCTTCCAGGCCCTGGGGGTCTGCCTTTGGTTTGGGGGGAATAGCCCCCCTCTTCCCATGGCCCCTTCCCTCACTCAGTGCTCTCCCTCCCCATCCTGCACCCAGGCATCATTCGAAGGAACTCCCTGAGTGGCAGCAGCACCGGCTCCCAGGAGCAGCGGGCAAGCAAGGGGGTGACATTCGCCGGGGATGTTGGCAGGATGGTGAGGGCGGGCCCAAGGGAGGGCGAGCCCAGGGAATGGTAACTGGCTGCAGCTTCACCCTCCTAACCACCCTGCAGGTTTCTTCAGTGCTTTTTCTTTTCCCTCCAGTGAATTCAGAACAGGAGCCATGTGTCTCCCCCACACCAGGGCCCACCCTGGAGCTTGTGCTCTCAGAAGGTGACCAACACAACTCTGCAAGGAAGAAGACCTCAGCACTGAGGGAGTAAAAGTCCAGAGGGGCATGGAGAGTGCTGTTCCATTATAGGGAAGAGCCAAACATACGGGAACACTTTGCTGTGTGTCGGTGTAAATTCTGCAGCCTACCATCTTCATCCCTGCTACCTTCCCAGCCAAGAGTCAACCACTAAGCAATCCCACCCAAGTGCAGATGCTTCCAGAAGGCACACTCCCAGTTGGGCAAGAGGAGGGGGTGTTCTCACACTAGAATTAGTAACAGCAAATAAAAATGCTGGAAACTAGGACTCTGAATTTGTATGTCGGGCCTTAAGAACAACAAAGGCTTACTGGATAAGGAAGGGATTTAGAAGAGACTCTCCTCACAATGGGAGGTAGGGGTGGAAGCTGCCTGGCCTGGTTTCCTACCAGTTCATGAGGAAACTGCAAGGTCAGTGATCCACCTCACCAAGCTAAGAATCCATCCAGACCCCACCTTAGGCCTACACAAGCAGGCCCCAGTGGAAGTTAAGAAAATGAAAGCTGCTTGTCCCCATCCTTCATCTACCTCTCTCTCTAATGGTGGGAAAAGGCAGTAATATTGGAGTTCTGTGTTGTTGAGGGTAGAGGACAGAAGAGTGACCTTCCCCCAAGATGTGGTTCAGTCTCAAAACAGCCCAGTGACCCACCATGATCTCTCCCTAAAATCAGGTGGAAAGATCTCATGGAAAAAGTAATTCTAGTTAAACATTTACAGCTCCCTGGGGCAATGCCACTGCTGCAGCTACTGCCTGTGGAGCTCTCCAGGGTGAAGTGTCAGCCCAACACACTCATCTGACTCCAAAAGAGAGGACTCAAGTTTATTTTCAACCTGACCCCATCTTTCCTATAGGCTCCAATACTGCACAGAGCTGCCACACCCACTCCCATAACAGCCCACCTCTTGTCCTCCTCTCTCTTAAACCCCAGGAGGTGAAGGGGATAAACCACAAAGTCAGAAAGCTTGGGAAAAGCCAAAGTTGGATACTTTTCAAACAAACTACAAGAAGGGCTCAGCCACCACACAGAGGGAGTGTGAGGTGGGCAGTGTTCTCTTGATGATGGCCAAATGCATAAATCCCTGGCTTCTTGGGCTCAGTCATCGTCCAAGTTTAGTAAGATGGCCAGCGAAGCTGTAAGCAGGCTTCAATTTCTACAAGGTCATGGGTCATCCATCATGTGAAGGGGCTGTAGCAGGTAGAAGATGTGCGATGCCCATCTGGATCAGGGTCCTGATGCCCTTGCAACAGCTCGGGCTCGAGCAGCTTTGGCCTCATCCTCCAGCTCATCTAGGAAACGCTCCTGGGACACCGAATAGAAGGTGTAACCATCTGGGTAGGTGGGTTCAGGAAACCACTTGGAATATGCACATTCCGTTTTCCTAGACTTGCTTCCGCCACCCTTGTTGATCTCTCATCCTCCCAAATCAGTGGTTTGATCTGCTCTGCTATTCCGAGTCCTGACGCTGACTCCGTTATTATTAAAGAATTATATTAAAAGAGCACCTTAAATGACCAAGTAAGATACATTAAACGCTTGGCTCAGCGTTAGACTTTCACTGCTCGGGCTCTTTCTACCACCCCCACACTGCCCTCCTACAAAGCCTCTGGCCCCTTCCCTTGCCCCCATATGCGGTCTCCCGAATGTACAGTCCAGATGGATACAGATAGCTAACACGAGGGCCCCGATGCCCAGGCCGGTCACGATGTTTCGGGTCCGCCGCTGTGGCAGCGTCTTCTGCCACTGGGCGAGCTGCACCTGCCGCATGAATTGCAGCTGCGCGGGAGTCAGCTTCTCCTGAGTCGGGTCGATGCGTTGGGCCAGAGGGGCCTTTCCACTTTTAGCATCGAGAGAGTCACCAGACCCCGGAGACGCCATGTTGCCGCTCCGCCCTTCGCAGTCCCGAGACACGGAGCTTGCTGGGAATAGCAGTCCTTGGCTACCGCGGGGGACGCTGGGAGTTGTAGTCCGCGTTTCCTTATCCCAACAGAGAGGCTGTTGGCCTTAGAGGAAGGGCGTGGTAGGCGGGAAGTGGCAGTGCTTTCTGATTGGCTGAGGGGTCCGCAGCCGTTGGGGCGGGAAAAGGCTGTGGAGGGAATTGGGTTTTCCTCAGACTTGAGGTGAGGACAAGCACACAGAAGGGGATGACGAAACCAGAGTGTGGCACAAGGCTCTGAAGAGAAGATAGGGGGTCGGTTTATGGATCCAGTGAGCCGTCTGAGTGCCCCCAAAGTCTTCTGAAAATGGCCGGACCTGTGAGGCCAAGATTGGCCTCTCTCAGTGACTTTCGGTTTGGAGCTGTTGCCACAGAGACGATAGAAGACGCTCTGCTCCACTTGGCCCAGCAGAACCAGCAAGCAGTGCAGGAGGCTGCGGGACGGATGGGCAGCTTCAGAGAGACGCGGATCGTAGGTGTGGACGCAGGGCCAGGAAGCCGGGTTTAGGGCAGACCCGGGCATCTGTCTTTGAGGCACCGGCCTTGAGATTCTATACATAAGTTTTGTTAATACCTACTATATGCCAGGTTCTGGGGATATAGTGATGAACAAGACACACCCGCACCTTACCCTTGATTTCCCTAAGTATATTTATTATCCACACTGCCAGGGACAGAAGGATGAAATAGAGATTTACTCCCTGCTTTCAAACCATGTATATAAATAATCCTTGGAGAACATTAGGACAAATTTGCAAATGCTTAGGTACAAGCATGGTTAGATAAGTGACATACTAGATAAAACAGGCTTTTATAGGGCTTGAAAGGAGTGATGGGGGTGAGGTGGGGTGGCGGTAGGAAGAATTAAGAGTCCTCCAGGCATCATGGCATTTGAGGTGGACCTTGAAGGAAGGATGACATTTTGGTTGGTAAAGGTGATAAAGGGGAACAACGTTTCTAACATGAGTAAAGCTATGGAAATAGGGATGCTTAGGGTGACGAGTACAGTGTAGTCCAGGTTGGCCAAAGCACGTGGAAAAGTAGTTGAAAGTAAGATCAGAAAGGTAGTTTGGAGACATTCCATGTGGAACTTTGAATGCCAAGGTGAAGAGTTTATACTTGTCTTAGGAAAACAAGGCATTGAAGGGTTTTTTTGTTTGTTTGTTTGTTTGTTTGTTTGTTTTTTAATGGTGTGATACAACTGTAACATTTGCCTTAGAAAAAATTATTTTGGCTATGCTGTAAAGGATGACTTGAAGTAGAGAGTGATGGGAGGTAGGTCTGTGTTAGTAGTTTAGGTGATAGGGCAGAGGGATTGACAGAGGATGGATTAAAAACATTCCACAGGTAAAATCTAGGGTTCTGCAATGGACGAAGTTAAGAAGTGAAGGCAAAGATGCCAAAGGTTGAACCTAGGAGACTGGGAATATAGTGGTGCCATTAAGAGAAACACACACATACATTAAAAAAAAAAAAAAAAGAAACAGGGAAAGGCAATAACTTTGGTTTTGAATCTACTGAGTTTCAGGTGCTTGTAAAACGTTTAGAGGAAGGTTTCTAGCAGGCTGTTTAAAAAGTAAGTCAGAAGAGAGATCAGAACTAGAGATAAAAGTTTGGGAGTTATCTACATAATGATACTGTTGAAACTGTGGCAGAGGATGCGTTCCTAGAGGGAGAAAAGAGAAGTTCAAGGACAATTCCTTGGGAAACATTTTGTGTTCAGGGAATTGGAATAGGAAGAAAAGTATGAAGAAAATAAAAGGAGGGGTTTGGGAGACAAGGACAGAACCAAAAGAACATTGGAAGGCAAGATGGGCGTTTCAAGAAGGATGATGGTCAGCAGGGATCAGATGCTTCAAGGATATGAACAACAGGAATGAAGACTGCCAACAGGAATTAGGATCGCAAAAGGGCAATGATATTTAATAATTTGGACATATTTGCTGGTCTTTGAGACAATCATTTCAGCAAGTTGAGAAAAGCAGAAGCCAAATTGCAGAACATTAAGGAGTGAATGCTGAAGTGGAAGCAGCAGTTATAGTAAGCTAGGCTTTCAAGAAATTTAGCAGTGATGGAAACTAGAGAGCTAAAGCCCTAGCTTAAAAGGAAAGAAGGGGAGGGTCTTTTAGTTAAATGTAGATCTGAGTATATAAGTACAGGAGGTGGAACCAGCAGCGAGGGAGAGGTGTAACCCTCATTCATTCTAACTAACCCCAGCTCAGTTTTCTTGGCAAATTAAAATGGAAAATAAAAACAGTTGCATGGATAATTCAGGCCAAAACCAAAACCAAACCAAACAACTATGTATACACACAAAAACAAAACAAAGAAAGCCTAAACTCCAGCAAATAAAACGACTGGCTAATAACACACAATTATGTATTCTAGGGCATTTTGCTTAATTGCTTAAACTAATTCTCTTCTTCATTGGAGCCTGCTAGAGAGCTTTTGTCTCTGTAACAATAAGTTTTTGTACATATACCTCTGTGTAACATGTGTCGAGTAGATTGTTAAATTATCTTGTTCTAGTTTGACTTTTATAGTTTTTTTCTACAAAAGTCAAATTTTCTCTGAACATGTATGGTAACTTGTAATTTTTTGCTGATCAGTGATAAAAGTTCCCAGTTCTGCAGGGGCTTTCTTTTTTGAGAAGTGACATTTACCCTTGTTTCCACCCTCTAATGATATTGCAAACTAAATAGAATTCTATCTGGGGCGGTTCTTTCAAAGAGAAACAAGCAGCCTAAAATCTTGCCAAGGTATCTTGCCCTTCCCACCTTCCCAGTGACTCCGCCCCACCCCAAAATTGGGCTACATTCCCTGATTTGGAGGATGTTTCTTCAAAACAAGCCAGTCCACTGTAACAAACTTGCTCCTGGGGAGAGGCTCGGCCACCACAAATTTACCCAACAAACTGGTGGTGGAGAGATGGTGTCCAGCTGTAAGGTGAATCATGTTTGTAAAGCAATGGGAGTTCTCCAGAGGGTGGTTACTAAACAAACAGTATTATAAAGAATATTGAATCTCCAGGAGGGACCTTTCTGTTCCTGTCAACATTCCACTGCAAACAGAATATAGGGGTTAAGGTTTTTATCCATCCCAAATATCTCCCTTGAAGCTGGGGGTTCCCAGCATGGTGTAGAGGCCAATTAGACCAGCTGGTATGTTTGTGTGTAGCTGGCTAAGCCTTTTATCAGCTGAGACCCACAGGAAGGCTCAAGGGTCACTCAGGGGGCTTGGTAAGCCCTTGTCTTTGGCACTCAGTCAGCCTCCTTTTCATGCCTCTGATCTGCCTATTGGCAGCAAAGGGAACTAAGCTCAGCTTGGGTTTTTTCAGTCTCATCTTTCTCACCTCATGACCCTCTTCCCTCGGCCCCATCATGGCTTTCACACAACGCCAAGAGTTCACAGAGTGGTTTTGGTTGCACCTTGTGAATTAGGCTCTTCTTTCCTATTTTGGCAGAGTTTGTTTTTCTCCTGTCTGAACAATGGTGTCTGGAGAAGTCCGTGAGCTACCAAGCTGTAGAAATCCTAGAAAGGTAAAGCACTGAGCATAAGGCCTTTGTAAGTGGTACCTCTCAGAATGGCTAATGTACCCAAATCTTTAAAAAGATTTTAAAAATCAATAAAATAAAGTACTAGTTGCCCCTCACCATGAGACCTGGCTTTGCACCCTCTATTACTTGCAAATGTAAATTTCTTAGCTTGTAATTGCTGTTGGAGAGGATAAGACACAGCATAGTTTGAAGCAGAAACTCCCTTTAGTTTGAGTGTGGATTGTTGACTCTCTCCTTCCCTTCTTTATAGGTTTATGGTTAAGCAGGCAGACAATATCTGCAGGCAAGCCACAATCCAGTTGAGAGATAAGACAGAGCCTCAGAATTGGAGGGCTCTGAAAGAGCAGCTTTTCAACAAGTTTATCCTGCGTCTTATGTCATGTGTTCAGTTGGCGAGCAAACTTTCTTTCCACTACAAAGTAAGGAGCTGGGGTTGCTCATAGGCACCTGAGTTAAGTTAGAAAGAAACCAGCTCTTCCAAAGGTGACTGTGAGAAACCTACTCCTAGGCTAGGTGATACTACTCATGTGGAAATTCCAGAGTGCAGTTATGCTTCCTAAACATATCTTCCCATCCCCACCACCACCCCACACACAGTCACACAGAGGCAATTACTAAATAGCCTTAAGTTCTGTTCCCAAAGTATAACTGCTGGACAGATGCCATCATTCACACAGGTCACCTTTTCTCCCCTTGGACTCAAGGACAGTTTACATAAGGTATCTGAATTGCCAGCATACCTATCAGTATTAAAGGCAAACTATTGCATTTATAAAGGATCAATTTTTTTCCACATCACTACCCAATGCTTATGTAACAAAATATCATTCAGCAAATATTTATTGTCTTCTATGGCCTGATGCTGCCATGGCTGCAACAGTAAAAATATTGTCTGTGCTCTCAAGGAACTTATCCAATGAGACACACAGGCAAATAATGTGGGAAAGTGTTCCAGCTAGTGTAAATACAGAGGACTATGAATGTACCTCATCAGCCTTGGAGAGTCAAGGAAGTGTATTTAGAGAAAATGACTTCTTGAAGGGGCAAGGGCTGTGGAAGATGGGTGGATCCTACGGGAAGAGGGAGAGTAGTTAAGGAAAGCAGGGAGAGAGAAGGGAGAGGAAAAGGAGATCCAGATACAGGAAACAGCATGGGTGGTGGCTCGGAGTTTGGGAACTGCAAGTCACTCTATATGACAAGCATCAAGTGTCAGGGGGAATTACTGAGATGAGATGAAGGCACGGGCTGGATTGTGAAGGGCTTTGTACACTATGCCAAGGCGTATGACCTTTTACTCTGACACCCTTCTCTCCTTCTCACTGTTTTGTTTTTCTTTGCTCAGATAATCAGCAACATTACAGTCCTGAATTTCCTCCAGGCTCTAGGGTATCTACACACTAAAGAAGAACTGCTGGAGTCAGAGCTTGATGTTTTGAAGTCCCTGAACTTCCAAATCAATCTGCCTACTCCCTTGGCATATGTGGAGATGCTCCTGGAGGTTCTAGGTACTTTATTAAGTGTGCCAGGGACTGTGGGTTGGAGTCTCCCATAGAAGGCAATAAGAATGTGTCCAGGGGTTTGGGGACAGTGGGAAGAATACACCGGAATCCAGGAACAGTGGGAAGCCTGAGATGATGGAGAAAAGTGTTCCCTCTGGTACCTGTCACAGGGAAAGAAACTCAGGTCTCAGCACCTGGCTTCTGTTCAGACTCACTAGACACTCTTACGGCAGGATCAAAGTGCTGATTTTATAGAGAGGCATGAGGTAAGAGGGGAACCAACAAATATACTCTCATTGTATAGATATACTATACATGGAGGTTTCTCTACTTCTACCTTTGTCCTTTAAAATTGACCTCCAGCTAGAGGTGTCTTATAGTAAAACAAAGCAACCAGGAAGCACATTAGCAGCTCATTAGCTTTATGTTACAAGACTGTGATTATGATCAGAAAAGACCTGCACAATGCTCTTTACCACATCCATACTCCGTCTAGGATACAATGGCTGTTTGGTCCCAACCGCACAGCTGCATGCAACCTGCCTGACCCTGCTTGACCTAGTCTATCTTTTGCGTGAACCCATATATGAGAGCTTGCTGAGGGCTTCGATTGAGAACTCCACACCCAATCAACTGCAAGGGTAAGGCAATTCCTTCAGGATAGGCGCCTTCTCATGCTATCATAAGAATTTGGGGAATGGAATTTACTTAGCAAGGCACCCAGTCCACAGATAACCTGCATAGATTACCTGATTCAAATTAACATCCAATATGTTGCCTGGATGCGGGTGACAGCCCAATCAGCAAAACCCTAAATGCTTTTACTTTTAAACTTAAATGACTTCAAGTAATTAACATACTTTCTTTCCTGGTGCTTCCTTTATAGCTGTTTATAATTTGAGATTACTTAGAAAAAAAAACAACCAGTCACAGTGCTGCAACTTGGACAAAAGTGTTTGATTACTGTAAAGTCAGACTAGTAAAAAGCCTCACAGTTACATTTGTTAGGGAGACAGATGGAACAACAAAAGGCCTATAAACCATTCAGACAGGAGGCTCATGTTTTAATCCCAGTTGATTTGGGGGAGGTTGGGAGTGGAGTCAATTAGCTATTGCTTGACCATTTCCTTCCATATCTAAAAAATCCAAGATGATCAACAACTAATAGTTGAAGTTCCATGATCCTAGGATTTGGAAGATCAAGTTTCATTCTAGCTCTAAAATTAATAATGGTTTTAATCACTCAGGGAAAAGTTTGTTTCAGTGAAGGAAGATCTCATGCTGTTGGCAGTAGGAATCATTGCAGCAAGTGTTTTCATCCAAAACCATGAGTGTTGGAGCCAGGTACGCACCACTGAGCAGGACCAGCATGGTCAGAATTCATTTAATAGAAAGCATTCTCCCATTAGTTAAAGGAAAACAGAAGACAACCTATAAAAGGTAAGTGCCAAGAACCAGGATTAGGATGAATGAGCAGGATTTGCGAAGAGGAAAAACTATCGGGTTGTCAGAAAAGTCATGTCGTTTTTTTTCTTCTCTGTTTTTCGTTGCAAAAATGCGTCATGACTTTTCCGACAACCCAATAGGTTAGGGCTGAAAAGTGTTCTCCACTTTTCCTCTAATTGAAATTGGAAACGGAGGCCCAGTTCAACTTGTTTCCCTTTATGATGATAATCCGCTATCATGCTGAAGTTCAATAAGTATATCCTCCCAAATAGAGAAAATGTCAAGGCCCAAATAGCTCTCTCACATTTCACAAAACTTACCTCCAACAGAGTGAAATGTCTAGCAGAAACTTTCCACACTAACATCATCAGGGCAAAGGTATCATAATGTAATCTGGCCACTGGCAAACACTGGGATCTGGATTTAATCTTCTCTGTAAATTCAGAGAAATGGAAAAAAATTTCTATTTGGCTTGAGAGAACAAGCAATTTGTCTGCTTGTGTACTAAAACATGTTGAGATGATTTAGTACTAAGAAATCTGTCTGTTTCTGCAGGTTGTGGGGCATTTGCAGAGCATCACCAGCATTACCTGGGAGAGCATCACTGCGTTCTCTTACGCAATCCTGACTCACAGCGTGGGAGCCAACACTCCAGGGCCACAGCGGCCTATTCCTCCCCACCTGGCAGCCAGAGCTCTGAGGGCTGCTGCTTCCCCCAACACATGAGGCAGGCTGAATCCACCAAATATAAACAGCCTTCTGTCACTGCACTCATCCCTCCCTGTTTACTTTCATACTCAGGGTACAAAAGTTTCAAGTATCTTTTGAACCATGTTTTGTATTCCAACTTCTGCTTATTTTTCTGAATCACAGAATTAAGGTGGATGAACATGACTTTTTTTGTCATATCAGACTGAAAACGTAAAAAGCTGGGAGAAATAGAATATTAGTGAAGTTGGTTCAGTTTTGTTTAACAAGATAGTTATAGCTTTTCTTTAATTGTTCATTTCATTAAGAGAGAACATCAGACATGGAGATTAGTATTAACCAGGGACTCACAAAACGAGGCCATTTGGGTGACCTTGACTGAGCAAGGAGGAAGCCTTTATTTCCCCTTAAAGTTAATTTAACATCTCTGTTCTATTACTGAGATCTACACAAATAGGGCTTCCCCTACAGCTGTCCATTTCCACCAGTCTTTTTGAAAAGTAACACTAACCCATCTCTAAACCTGTTTCAACAGAATTTCCACATACTTGCAGTTGAACTCAATTCTCCCAGAATACAAAGTACTCTATTTTAGTTAAAGAAAAACCCAACAGTGCACCTTGGGCAGTTATCAGACTGCAGCAAATCTTTTATTACAAATAATTAAATCTCTCCATAATGTCTTAAACAGTATCAAACACCATTTCATATCACTAACACAGAGCGGAGTAGGCATTCAGTACTAGAACCGAGTGAGAAGAAGTATTCAATTTCAAGCTTCTGATCTCATCACATGGTGACCAAAGCTTATATGTCATTTTCTCATGTTATCCAACTGTGCGTCTCATACATCTCATTGTCTCAGTGGAGACAAAGTTTCTGTTTCATATTAAGTGCAGGAAGTTGAGAGACATAAAATCCAGTGAAAACACATCGATCTCAGTTAAAAAAAACACACAAAAAAACAGAAGCAAACTTAAATTAGTTGTTTTAAGGGGAGAGAGAAAAAGGAAAGCATGGGGTTAAGAGTCAAAACTATAACAAAGGCTGGTAAGCTATACATGGCATGTTATAGCTCTGAAAACTATTTGTCATATGGTATTTTAAAATAAAGTGGCTTTTGTGGATTTTTTTTTCTTTTTTGGTATTGTAAACACGTGCCGTTTAATAGTACCCGAATTTAATTTAAAACATTTTTTTTTCAAACAAAACAAAATTTAAAGCCTTTAAGGCAAACATTCCCCTAAGGAAAAAAGAAAGTCATTTGTTATAAAACTGTGAGGACACCCAAGCAAGACCCCACTTAAGATTCGTCAGCATGAACTTGAGAGCTTTTGTCCACTGTTCCTCCGAGTTAAACTGGGTTTTGATGGAATAGGAGCCGCCGCTACCTCCTGTGTCTTCAATCTTGCCTTTCTCCACATCCATCCTACAGATGGACACAGCAGAGCTCATTAGTAACTGAGATCCGAGTTAAGTCAGTTCAGGCAAATAGGCAGGGACTTGATCATGGGACTATTCACGTCATTTTATCTATTAAAGAACTCTTGGCGAGGAACGGTAGTGTATTTTGGATTTGCTTGAAAGCCCAAAATCAAGAAGGCTGTCACAAGAGCCTCATTGTCACTGTGGAGTACAGGGACAGGACACACACCCAAACAGATGACAGGCCTGGAGCAGAGGCTAAGTGAGGGTTACAGTACTCCTCACTGTTTTTCTAGGCATCCCTGAACTCACGGGGAGAGAAAGGAGGCAGAAGAAAAGAAAAGCTTTGTTTGGGGCTGACAGAAGCAGCTCAACCTTACTCTCTTGAACTAAAGCCTCCATCCATCACTGGTTTTCTACACAATTTGACCAAAGGAAGCATTCCTGTATATTTCCAAGAACTTAAGGGAAAACCTTCCTGAAACTAGAGAGCAGGTTTGAGCTCTGTGCCAAAAAAATACCCCAAATCATCTAAGATAACATTCTTTTTCTCCAGGGACCAGGTAGTCACATTGTCCTGCTTGCAGTGTTAGATCAGTCTTTGCCCATCAGTGTCATGTGATTTTACACCATTTTCTGCTTTCCCACCATTTATACTATGCTTTGTCTCCCTTCTAACTGTCCCTACAATTCTGTTCAATTTGGTCCTACTCCTAGGTTCATTCAGCAGTGGGGGATACTGACCTGTAAGGAAGACAAAAACGTGTCTCGCCTTTCTCAACCTCTTCTTTGAATTGCTGCACACAGTCCAAGAAAGCCACCATTGCATGGTCAAACTTGTTGTCCCAGAAAAACCGCAGCCCCCCAGAACAGTACAACGGCAGCTCCTGCCCAAGAGAGAACTGGCTATGGATGTGGCACCAAGACAGATGATCAGAGATTGTTCCCAGTCCTATCAATCTCTCAAGTCATGTTCTTTCTGTATTCTACTGGAAACAGTAACCTTGGGCAAATAACAATGCACCTAGAACTGTTCCACGGGAAATGCAATAAATATCCACCTCACAGTGATTCCTTCCCCATCCTAGCACACATTCTACTTTCTCATCAGACTCTGAAATCCTCGTTCTCTCTATAGGCCTCAAAGAGCTAATCCTGAACTAGACAAGACATTGAATAAGACACTGGTTCTTCATGACATATCTCAGTCTAAGAGAAACAATAATGCCATTATCAAAAATAAATCATTTCGGGGCCGGCCGAGTGGCGCGATGGTTAAGAACTCGCTTGGGATGCCAGCGGGCCCCGGTTCGGATCCCACATATGAGGGCCAGTGACACTGGGCTCCACAGCTGAGATGCTGAACAACAGCTCAACCTGGAGCTGAGCAGCCATGAGTCGCCGGCGACGGCGTAGGCTGCAGCCCCTGTGGCAGTGGGTTGCCATGGGCTACCGTCTGTAGCCAGCAGCCAGCATGAGCGGCCAGCAGCCGCAGTGAGCAGCCGTCCAGAAGCCGGCGACTGATCTGCCTCGCCCGGGAAGAGCCCAATGATGGTGCCAACTTGGGCCAGTGAAGCAGTGTCCTCCACAACTAGATTGAAGAACAAAATGACAGCAACTTGTCTGTTCCCCTTCCCCCAATTCCCCAATTAAAAAAAAAATCTTTAAAAAATTAAAAAATAAATAAATAAATAAATAAATAATTTCACTAGGAGGTGCAAGAATTCTGTATTCCAGTGAAAATGGAGTTTCCCAGAGTACCTTAGATTTGTCTGTCAGAGACTCCAGGTACGAATGGTTTCCATAGGGAACAAGTCGATACCTAAAAAGGAGATACATACAGAGATGGATACAGGACTCCTCCTAAAGTGATAATTGGGATGTTAGAGCCCAGTGATTTTTAGACTTCATCTTACCCAAGGACCGTTCTTATTATTCCCACCTCTCTCTCTTACCTCCCCAAAGGCTCCATATTTAAGGTTTTGTTTACCAAACAAAGTACATTTATTATCTAATTGTCTGGGGGCCTTTGTGGATGAATGCATTTTTTGGTTTAGATTTAAAAACAAAAACTGAAACTAGCTTGAGGAACACTCAGGTTCTGGAGACAGTGTATTGGGACCACTGTTACAGTCAAGCAGCTCGAGGGCTGCCTGATCGGTAGAAAGAGCCCTATGGTGAGGGGAAAACCAGAAGCCGGGCGTCTGCACAGACAGAAAACTCCCAGGCTCTTAGGAGCAATGGTTCCTGCCATAGTGGACAGCAGTACCAGGATGGAAATATAGATTATATCAAAGACATACCACACCCCAAGAAAGGGCTATATTTCTTACCTCTGAAATTTCAGACCCATCTTATTGGCCAGGGCATGGAGCAGCAACACCGTCTGGCCCCAAGCAGCATTAATCTCATTCCATTCCACAGGAACACTGGGCAGGCGACCCAGTCTGAAGTTGTTGATTGTGCCAAACTGTCCACTGTGCCTATAGAAAGCAGGAGGACAGGGAAAAATACAGGGGGAACTTAGAGCTTAGTAACTTCTGAGACTTCTTGCTTGCACCTAAAACCTAACATAAACCTCTCTCCTTATCTCCAGATTCATATATCCAAGCTCTACTTGGTAGTTTAACTACAAGTCTTAAAACATGAGTCATCTTCTTTCTACCTGCAGCTCAGATGTCAAAACAGAAACCTGGGTATCATCCTTGAATGCTCTCTCTCATCTCCCTTCCCACAAAAAACCAACAAACTGTTGATTCTACCTCCTAAATCTCTCAAATCTGTCCACTTCTCTCCAAACTCAACGCCAATACTCTCTTTTTCTATTTAGATTGCTACTGACAAGTCTCCCTACCAAACATACTGCCCTCTTTCCCCAAGTCATTTCTCACATGGCAGGTAAAGCTATCATCACAAATGCAAATGTAATTATGTCACTTCCCTGCCTAAAATGCTTTAGTGGCTCCCACTGCCTTTTGGATACAGTCCAAATCTCTTCAAGAGGCCTACAGGATCCTTTAGGAATTGATAACGCTCCAGTTTCATATCCTGTCATTCTCCCCTTTACACTCAGTCTTCACTCACAATAAGCTCCTTTCAGTTCTCTGAATTCACCACTCCCACTTTCCTGTTTCTTTGCACATGATGTTCTCTCCACCAGGAACAACCCCCCTCCTCTGCAGACTTCTACTTCACATCTCAGCTTAAACATCAAGCTCCTCTGGGGGAAACTTTCCATGAGGCCTCCCCACATTGGGAAAAGTGTCCTGATGTGTTCCCACAGCACCCCAGGTTAACTATTAACACACTGTACTACAATCGCTTATTACTTAGCCATCTCTTCCACGAGATTATAAGTAACTAGAAGGTAGAATGCATAGTTTGCTGTTGCGCTCCTAGTGCTTAGCAGTGCCTACCACACAGCAGATGTTCAACAGATACTAGTTAAATGGATAAAACGTCAAATAAATTAACATGCGAATGACCCTGGAGGTAAGAAATCAGCTCCAGAGGACCAGAATTTCATGTGGCTGGAGGGCTCAGATCTCTCCCTTTCCTTGGAAGAGTGGATGTCACCAAACTCTAGACTTCTAATCCCTGATTGTGCCTATCCCATCACAAGGAGTTAAAGAAACCTAGATGGGGTGAAAATGACATGCAGTCCTATTTTGTGGGAGGTGGGCACCCTGGTCTAGTGGTCGACAGCTAAGGTCCAGATATGTAGTGCTTCCCAGATGCTCCTCACCCTCCAGCCCTCATTACCAAATGTGGAAGGTTGCATTAAAGACGTTGGTTTTCTTCAGCTTGTCTAGCTGCATTTGGGCATAACGCATCTGGTTTTCTACACTCTTCAGCTCATCATCCAGTTCCAGCTGTTGTCGTTTAAATTCACTGTATTCCCTCTGATACCTGTGAGTAGCCAAAGTGGCCATTGAAAGCTGTTAGTTTGGGGCCTAAAATTTCTCTGTTACCACCCCTCTTAACGATTTATTCTTAGTGATTATGGTTCTATCCAGTTACAGCATCTTTTAGATTTGGCACAGATCCTACTCAAAGGAACATACATACCCTAGTTGTTTTGCCTGTGAGGGACAGAAATATCTCAAATTCCCACTGTCCATATGCTTAAAAAGGAGAGGAAAAAGGATTCTCCCAAACCAGAAGCAAACACCTCTTGGATGTCTGATCTTTTCTAAAAGTAAGGTGAGTGCGTCAAGAGTGGCTTCTCAGGGCCGGCAGAGTGGTGCGATGGTTAGGAGTTGGTTTGGGACGCTAGCTCTGAGTAACAGGGCCCGGGTTCGGATCCCACATATGAGGGCCAGTGATGCTGTGCCCTCTACAGCTAAGATGGTGAACAACAGCTCGACCTGGAGCTGGGCTGCCATGAGTCACCAGTGACAGGGTAGGCTGCAGTGGGGCTGGCAGGCAGCAGGCATGAGCTTTCATAAGCCACTGTGAGCAGCCATCCAATGGCTGGCTAGTGACTGCCTCAGCCGGGAAAAGCGCAATGATAATACCAACATGGGCCAGTGAAGCAACATCCTCTACAACTAGACTGAAGAACGAAAGGACAGCAACTTGTCTGTTCCCCTCCCCTAATTCCCCAATAAAATCTTTAAGGGAAAAAAAAAAAAGAGTGGCTTCTTCCACAGGCTGGCCATAACTGAACTTTTTTTTATAATTGGGGAACTGTGTGTTTTTCTAGGACCCATCAGCTCCAAGTCAAGTAGTTGTTTCAATCTAGTTGTGGAGGGTGTGGGGATCGAACTGGCAAATCTTGGTGTAATGAGCACTGCATTCTAACCAACTGAGCTAACCAGTCACCCTGACTCCAAGTCAAGTGGTTGTTTCATTCTAGTTGTGCAGGGCGCATCTCAGTGGCCCATGTGGGAATCGAACCGACAACCTTGGTGTTATGAGCACTGCACTCTAACTAACTGAGCTATCTGGCCAACCCCATAACTGAACTTCTGTAACTTCACCTCTGTATACTTATTATCCTTTAAATAGTTAGTAAACACAATTTCCAATGGAACTTGTCACACTACTCTGTGAAAAATTAGCTTTTTTCTCTGTCCTTCACATCCCTAACTTCAGTTAGTGTGGACACTATGTCTCCTCCAAAAGACAGAGGGTTCTCTCAGGTCAAGAGTGCCAGTGAAATTTTCGAGCTGGGAAAGAATGAATGTAGGCCAATACGCTCATCTTTCCAGAGGAGGATGCTGGGTACACAGGCTGACTTACCCAAATGAGCCCCGTTCCTACTGCAGAGCTGTGACTAGAGCCCTGGTTCTCTGCTTTCTATTTAACCAACACGCTTTTTCACTTAATATGCCAACCCTTCATACTTAACCCTCCCAACGAACCTCTAGATATAGGGCCAGCCTGAAAATAATATGCAGGATCCAGAGCAGATATGCTGTGGAATGACAGCTGACTACAGCTTACAAAGTAATCAGACACATTCAGCTGGAAGCCATTTCCCCTCCTGGAGCCTTGAGGACATGAAGATAGAAGAACAGGGTGATCACTCACTGTGCCTCCTCCTGATCCAGTTTCTCAGCCTCAGCCTGGACCTTCTCGAGATTTTCTGCCACTATCTTGCGGTTCTTTTCCACATCTTCCAGCTCCTGGATCAGCCTCTCCTCCTCTAATGCCAGCTCCTTTAGCTCCA